TCCAGGATAACCTTCCTCTCCATCATGGCTATTGTACTTGAAAGTAATAGACGGATTATCACCTTGTTTTTGTTCAACAACTTCCCACATAACCTTGTCATCTCTTGTGGCCATCGTGGAGGCTGTTCGGAGGCTTGTTTACAGGCAAAGTGTATTGAACACCATCAAGTGTAAATTTCCCTCTTTGATCTTGTTTGCCACTCGGCCAACAATGCAGCCAAAGTATGGTGCAGCTTCTTTCAAATACAGTTTGAAGAGTGTCAAATCTCAGAACAACATTGGCTAATTTCCCAATTCCCATCTTGATCAGGAACTGACAGTGAAGTGATGGTGCAGTTGAAGTGAGAGACCTTGAGATGCATTGTGCCATTGTTGAGTTCAAAGAGCTTGGCTTCAGCCATTGTTGATTGATAAGCCGAATTGCAGGAAAAATGTGAAGAAATGGTGGTTGGACGTATTGGAATACTTAAAGAGGAAAAAATAATTCAAACATAAAGTAAGACATGAATTCCAGACCATATATTAACACATATAATGTACATTCATAACTATATAACTATTGTCATACTATGGTAATCATAAATAATTAGTTTTATTTATTACTTTCTCATGTAAGTCTCCGCATGTCCAATTTGAGCTAATTTTGATATATTGCAACAAGAGATTTTGTTACTAATATTCAAATCTTGTTACTTTAACAAGATACATACCACAAATCAAAGATTTAGCCTTTCTTACTATTGCTTCTTAAGTCTCAATGACCCGATCATTGATCTTAGTTCAAGTTCTCTCTTTTCATTTTTCAATCATTGTCAACATTAAGGTATACCTATCTTCATTGAAGATAACATTTATTGAAACCAATGGACCAAATTATTATGTGCATATTCAGTAAAAATGCACAAAATGCCTCTTTCTCCCAACTTTCTTGTATTAGGTTATGAGACCTTAACAATTGACCGAAAGTCTCTAATTCTTAGTGATGAGGTTCAATGTTCTTTAGTCCAAAGAAAATATAGACTTATAGAATGTCTTGTATTTAGAGCTATATCAATATATCACAAACTATTGTACAACTTTACCCTAAAGGAGTAGTTAAATGTCATACTTAGACAACATACAATTTTGCTTAATATCTTAAATATTAACACACCTTTCTAGCGGTGTACAAGAAACAGTATTTTATTTATATAATCTCAAACTTTTGACCACATTTCACATTAGTTCATGTATGCAAAAGTACATGTATATAAAATATAAACATAGACATGAATAGAAATTATTTATTTTAATTTTTATACATCACACTAAATTTAATGAATTCGGTTAAAATTATAGAATTATACAAGGATATCAAATCGTCTTCAAAGTGTGTAAAGAAATCCAGTTCGAAAATGTTAAACACATTGGTACAGTCGCAGGTATATATAGTACGTCCATTTTTCCTTTAATGATATATGGAATAAGTCAAATTTAAATTACAAGACAAACTAATGTTGGACGAATTCACAAAAAGAAAATTAGACAAGTTTATTAATTCCCTTTAGACTCTAGAAATTTGTCACCATAAATTTTACCATCCAATAAAACCATTCTCCTTTACAAGTATAAAAATTATCTATTACGCATAGTTCTTCATCCTCAAGATAACATCATCAAGAGTTGTTCCTAATAATATCCAACATCTTAGGAAACAATATAAAAGTCCAACGACAAATACCCCAGAATCAAAGTGAGATACAACTTATCACAACAATATCTTATCATGCGATCTCAAAGTTGTCTTCCTCATCACCCTGTGACTATTTCTTGATCCGGTACAACATAAACCGTTGTCTACCAAAACTCCCATCTTAATCATTCAAAACCAACTATCCATTTCACAAATAGAAGCCAATCAACCAATTTTAAAGAGCCAAATTTATTTTCTTCTAGAAAAATCAGAGAGAAAGCATCTACCCATTCGAAATAACAAGAAAATGAAGAGAAAAGAAAAACGAAGAAAACCCTTAATCAAACACAAAAAATAAACAGATGAAAGGTCCCAAAAAATCGCAGAACTACATTATTTATTTTATGGTTTATCTATGATGAAGCCAAAATATTCATCCTCTCCATAAATACACTCTTTGCAATGCCATGTGGAAATACTTTCATATCCTTTCAATTATACTAAGAATTTCACATATACATAAAATAAAAGAACCAAAACCCCAAACTTTTTTGACTTTCACGTCCTTGTTCCCTCTGGTATTTCTTTTGTATGGATTTAAGATACACAAATAACGAGGCAAATAATCAGAACTTGAGATGTGGTAAAGAAGGCTCTGAACAATGTAATTGAGTGACACGTGTCCTTTAATATATAATATAGATTTAAAATTTCACCACAGTGAACTCTTCTTAAAATGTATGAAAAATCATTGTTAACAACCAATAAAAGAAGCTAAAAATAATTAGCAATGGAAAATATGGGTTTTCCATTATTAATTAAATAGATAGGCAAATATATATGGAATGTAATAAAGATAAGTGAAACACATGAGTGAAAAGTAAATTGAAATAACCAATTTACAAAAAAATTTAATACTTTAACGAAAGAAGATCTCTAGCATTGACACGTGTCAAAAAAAAAAAACTCTAAATTTGACATGTGACAAAGAAGGCCCTGAACAATGTAATTGAGCAACACGTGTCGATTGAAAAATCTCCTTTAATATATAACTAGTATTTACCCCACACATTGTGCGAGTTGTTCAAGATATATATAAGTTTAATGATTTAATGATTAATATGACGTTTTCGACGAAAGGACAAATGTAAAAAAAAACAAATATTAATGATATAAATTAAAATTATGTAACTTTTAATATCAATGTGTTTTATTTTTTTATGTGCATTTGGGATAATATTGATGTATGCCTTTGCATTTTTTAATTTTTTTTTAAATTTTTCATAAAAATTTCTCTATATATTTCTACCAGTGTCATCTTTCAAAATCTCCCACTAATATTTTTTTGTGTTTTTTTTTGTCTTCCGCTAATATTTCTCATTATTTCTTTTCCCATAAACTCATCTTTATTTTAAATCTCTCTATATACTTATTGCAACCTCTATTTAGAAGTTTGTTTATATATTTTTCCCATAATATCGTGTTTATTTCATTTTTTTCCTTGGTTGCATAGTTTTCACTTTTTTTCTTCTTTTTCTAAATTGATTATCTCTCTTTAAAGTTTCAAATCTTGAAAATTTTGTAATAATTACTTCACTTTTCACTATTATCTCGATTTATTTTTTCATATTTTGTTATTCTCTACATGTTTTTTATTCCATATAATTATTTTTAATTTCTCAATATACTTTCTTCTACTATTTGTCTATCACAAAGACCTTTATTATTTTTTTTCATTTTAGAAAACTTTCTCCCTATTGATCTGTATGTTTTGTTTTATTACTATAAATTTAAATTTTTATACCAATATATGATATGGAAAAAATACAATGAATATATTATATTTTTACATTAATTTATTAGTAATCATTCATTATATTATTTTATAATACAATATATAATATAATATAATATATTATTATATTTTTTTGATTATAAATAATAATAATAATATATTATTATTATATTATTAAAATTTTGGCTGCTTAATATATAATTATATGATTATTATTATTATTATTATTATTATTATTATTTTACTTTTTTTTCTTTTTCGATTTATACAATATAATAAACAGCATTCATTCATTAGTATTGCCTGTTAAGGGGCCAAAACATACTACCATTAAAAAAGTTTACAATCGAAGCATCACCAAATGAAATAAAAACCATATAGTAACAAATATAAAAAAGGAAAAAAAACCCTGATTAATAGTTACACTTTAACACGTTATAGAAATCAATATTGATCATTAAATTGGTTTTTTTTTTATCTTGGCCGCTTTTTTTTTTTTTAACATCAAATTGGTGTTTTTTAATTTATTATTTCAGTTGGTTATCTCTAAATTTTATTATTATTATTATTATTATTATTATTATAATAATGTGTTTTTTCTCAATATGCTTTGGATATTTTTTACACGTTATTATGCATATGTGTATACTAATGGGGCCTAAGATTTATAGGCCTATCTTGTCAACGTGGGATTTATTTTTTGAAGTTTTTTTTTCGTGTTTCTTTTCAGTTATGTTTCTATACTTTCAAAGTTTCTTTTTAGTTATCTTTGTTTTTTTACCATTAAATTTAATGTGAAGGGTAATCTCCTAGTTAATTAAATTTTATCTATAAATTTACAATTTTACATTAAAAAAAATTACCATTAAATAATGGAGTGATGTGTTTACGACATGTGGACTTGGCTATCTAATATGTTGTCAGTGGATTAGCCTATCTAATTTACACCATGTCTCCGATTGAAAAGTCTCATTTAATATATATAGAGATATAAATTACTCAAAACATAAACATTTTAACTATATAATTAAATTTTTCTTAATCTCCGTGTTTGTCAAAATAAGTTTATTGAATTGAAATGGAAGGAGTAATTAATAGCCATTGATTGAGGGTTTAATTATTCGAAAAACAAAAGGGTAATGACATTAAAACGTTAAAAAAAAAGAGATGAATTTTGATACAAACACACAAAAGAGAAAATGACTTGTATATCTCTCTCTAAAAATCCTCTCCGACTTCTCTCTACAATTTCTTATCCGGAAACCCTACCTCCTTATGGCGGCTAAACGGCCGCCGGATGATCATGGGCAAAAGCTGCCCTCTTTTGCTCAAATTCTAAACGGTTCTAAAACAAATCCTAGAAACATCATCAATCCGGCTGGTATCTCTATATCTGTATCTCATCCTATCACATCCAAACCCTCGGTTTATAAAGGCGAACCCGCTTTTTTGTTAACAAAAGATGAAGATGATTGATTGGCGGCGCCTTTCAAATTATCACTGGTTGGGAAGTTTTGAAAAGGAAGACCGAAGATGGATTTTTTATGGCTTCAATTTCAGAAAATCGGATTTAAAGGAAGCTATTCTCTTGGAATGATTGATCATCGCCATATTCACATTCTTTTTGACTTGGAAGAGGACTACCATCGATGTTGGATCAAAGGGCTCTGGACGTTTGATTATCACGTTATGCGGGTTCTTAAGTGGACTCCGCAATTTCATCCAGAGCATGAATCGCCTGTTGTCCCGGTGTGGATTGCTTTTGAAGGGCTGCCAATTCATCGTTTCAATGAGGATTATCTTAGTCGTTTGGCGAGCATTGTTGGATCTCCGCTAAAAATTGATATCCCGACTCTAAACTTATCAAGGCCGTCAATCGCTAGGGTTTGTGTCGAAGTCAATCTGCTACAAGATCTCCCAAAAAGAGTACTACTTGGCACGGAGGAATACTTGTACTACCAAGAAATTACCTATGAGAACTTGCCAGAATATTGTTCCGAATGCAAGAAAGTCGGTCATGGCATAAAAGTTTGTCGACGCGGCAAGCCAAAGGTCACGGCTAAGGATCCGAAAACAGCGCCATTGAAGAATGCGGGTGAGAAATTGAAAACCCCAGTCAATACAGCCCAAGCAACCTAGAAACAAAAGCCACAAGTGGATCAACCAAACACGGATACTCAAAGGACAGATTCAAAAGCATCATCATCTGGTCTTTCGCATACAGAGAAGCTTGATACCCCAATTGACGTAGTGCATAGAAGTCCACTTAATTCGTCGTCGGGAAAGAGGAAAATAACGAAAGAAAAATTGGCTACAATTCTGTAGAATAGCAAGGAAGGGGCAAATTCGGATACCCCATGGGATGTGCATGATCAAAATCCAAAATTGCATACTGAGGAAAATGGAGGTAAACAGCGAGCTGTTTACGTTCCGTAGGTCAATCTCTCATCGCGATTTGCGGTGCTGGATAATCTATCAGAGGAACAGCTAGTTGAAAAGATTAATAACGATGCAGATTAGAAGGAAGAGCAACTGGAAGGGTTTGTTGATTCGGCGATTGATTCAGACTCTGACGCGGAAGGATTTGGTTCGGATACTGAAACTAATACGGAAAATCCAATAAGGATAGTTAATGATGAAACACAAGATGATGCTTCGATTGGACTTAGCAGCAAGGAAACAGAATTCGAAAATGATAAATTTGTGGTATCCGATGGAGAGGATCATAAGAAAGCAAAGGTTGGTCGGCCCCGGGGATCGACTAAAAAGTCGCAATTGCATCTCTCAGAAACTTGCAAGTCTGCGAGACTTCATGGTGTTACTCCTCCGCAAGTTTCCGATGAATAATCAATTAATATGGAATATACGCGGCGTTGGAAACAATCCATCTCAACGTCGTCTTAAAAATTTGGTTAGGCAGAATTCTGTTTCCTTTTTGGTTTTATTGGAGCCAAATGATTCCGGTTTCACAGCTAGAAGCACTTAGGAATAAGTTACGGTTTCGGGAAGCTTTCGCTTTGGTTACTGGAAAAATTTGGGTCTTTGCTTCTTCTGATTGGGTGGTTAATTTGCTCGGGGGTTCTGAACAAGCCATGCATTTTGAAGTTGAAAATCAGAAAATAGGAAGAAAAGTTTTAACATCGGCGGTTTATGCAAAGTCTACGCGTCAAGAGAGACAGGTTTTATGGACTAAATTACGAGATTTTATTGGAAGTTATTCTGGTTTGCCATGGATGATTGGAGGAGGTTTTAATGTCATTCGGCATATTGGTGAATATGAAGGACAGTCGCAGCCAGATAGAGGGTCAATGGATGACTTCAACTCATGGATAAATGACTGTAATTTGACGGATTTAGCTCCAGTGGGAAATCTTTTTACATGGACGGGAACTAGACAAAATGGAAAAGTGCTGAAAAGGCTTGATCGTGTTTTGTTAAATAAGGAGTGGATGGAGTTCTTTCAAGCATCATTGATACATCATTTAAATAGAACAACATCCGATCATGCTCCCTTGCTTCATCAATTCAGAGCTGATATGGATACCCGACCTAGTCTTTTTCGGTTCCAGAAGATGTGGTTACGTAGAGAACATTTTCTTGATGTGGTTAATGATAGCTAGACCCAGGAAATTTCAAAGATGGGGATGCTTGGTTTCTCTCTAAAATTGCGCAGGCTGAAGGCATGTCTAAAGGATTGGAATAAATTCGTATTTGGCAATGTTTTTCAGAATCTGAAAGCGGTTGAGGATGAGGTACAACTTAAGGAAAGCATATATGACCAGACTGAGAATATTTTAGATAGAGCAGAGCTACACAAGTCGCAAGCTACTCTCCTCTTGAAATTGAGAGAACATGATGATTTCCTCCAGCCAAGATCGAAACTTAAATGGCTTCGTGATGGTGACGCAAATACAACATTTTTTCATGCCTCCTTGATTGAGAAAAAAGATCGTCCAGGCATCCACAAAATTAGAGGAAGAATTGTCTCATGGCTGACACATAGGGAGGACATCGAAGAGGAAGCAGTAGGGTTTTTTAAAAACTTGTTGACGGAGGAGGTTTCTGATAATCATGAGGAAGCATCTACCCGTCTACTTCAGACCATCCCGGCTGTTTTAACCACAGAAGATAATCAAGATCTTCTGAGAAGTATTACAATGGAAGAGCTTAAGGAGGTTGTTTTCGGATTAGACCCCTCTAGTGCGCCGGGAGTTGATGGTTTTGGGGGGGATTTTTATCGTCATTGCTAGAACGTTATTAAATATGATCTCCTGGATGCTTGTTCTGATTTTATGAAGGGTCCTCCTATTCCTCGAGCTATTGGCAGCACTATTATCACTTTGATTCCAAAGAAATCCACTGCCACGACATTTGCGGACTTCCGGCCGATTAGCTTATGCAACTTCATCAATAAGATTTTTACAAAGTTAATGACAGAGGGTCTGAAAAAAGTTCTACCTAGATTAATCTCGGATGAGCAGTCAGCCTTTTTAGCTGGGAGGGATATTGTTGATAACATTCTTTTAACTCAGGATTTGGTTCAGTTTATAGATCATCCAGCAAGGGGGGAAAATTTAGTTCTGAAAGTGGATATGATGAAGGCGTTCGATCGTATCTCATGGAGCTTTTTGCGTAAATTATTGCTCAAGTTTGGGTTCTATGATCATTTTGTGGCATTAGTACTGTCCAATCTTGAAAAGAGTTGGTTCTCCATTCTCATTAATGGTAGTCCTGTGGGGTTTTTTCCGGCTTCAAGGGGAATAAAGCAAGGCGATCCATTGCCACCATATTTGTTTATTCTCCTTTCAGAACCTCTTACTTGAAACCTAAGGAAATTAACGGATGAAAGGAAGATTGCTAATTATGGAGTACCGGCAAAAGCAATGATTCCGTCGCATTTGTGCTTTGCGGATGATCTAATCATCTTTACAAGAGGATTAAAGCATTCTATGCAAAATTTGGTTTCTTTTTTCCAAGACTATGAGGCAGCCATGGGTCAAAAGATGAACAAACAAAAGAGTTGCTATTATGTCTCGGAGAAAAGATCTAGTATACATTTGCAATTGGTAAGCCACACTCTTCAAATGCCACAAGGGTCTTTCCCATTTATTTATCTGGGATGCCAAATCTTTAAGGGGAGGAGAAAAGTAGAATTTTTTCAGAATTTGTTGGAAGCCTTTGATGCTAAGATATCGAACTGGAAGAATAGATTCTTAACGCAAGGAGGCAAGTTGGTGTTAATTTGGCATGTGCTTTCAGCTCTTCCTTTACATACTATTGCTGCAATTGAACCCCCAAAAATAATCATATATGAGTTGGAGCGCAAATGTCAACAATTTTTATGGGGAGAAAGTGAGGATGGGAATAAAAGGCATTGGCGTGCATGGACTCATCTAGTAGCACCGATTGAAGAAAATGGCCTTAATATTCGCAGCCTTGGAGATGTAATAAAGGCTTTTTCTCTTAAGTTCTGGTGGAAAGCCAAGAATGGTACAGGCATATGGGCAAAGTTTATAGGATCGTTGTAAAAATCTTCAAAGGAGAGGACAAGCTGGCTACAAACGAACAAGGTTCATCAGCTCGCGTTGTCAGCTTCGCAACTGGAAATACAAAATGGATCATCATCATTCTGGTTCTCTTGTTGGCTCACGTCATCACCGATCTGGATTGTGGAAGAGGAATCGCCGATACCTTATTTAACTGTTTCTGATTTTTTCCAAGCTAAGTTTTCCTTTTTGCAGGTTTTTTCCGGCTTGTTACAACCCGAAGTTGAGGGGCAGCTGCGCGAAATGGAGATGTTCTTTTCAGACGAGCCTGATAAGCTTGTGTGGACTCCCTCAACAACAGGAGATTTTACAATCTCATCAGCCTACAGAGCAATCCGGCACCAAAGAGAAGCTTTTCCGTTTCTTAAAAATTTTTGGAATAAAATCATCCCACTTAAAGTATTTTTTTTTTCATTTGGAGGCTATATAATCACTTATTGCCTTTTCCTGAAATCTTATGCAGAATGAACTTGACACTATATCCATCAAGGTGCTCCTTTTGTCAGGCAGCGGATGAAAGCTTGGACCATGCTTTTTATGGCTGCCCGCGTATTAAACAAGCTTGGAATTATTTTGCAGTTGTGTTAGGGCTTCCGAGTCATAATGCTAGTTGGTGGAGCATTGTTCAGTCGTGGCAAACAATTGGGAATTTCTCTACGGCAAGAAAAGCGATTATTATAGTTGCTCCTCTATTCTTGTTGTGGGAAGTGTGGAAGTTCAGAAACAAAATAATTTTTGAAGGTACATCTTTTTCTTTTGAGGCTTTGGTTAAGAATGTTGTTTCTAACATCTCTCAAATGCTAAGTGTACATAAGATCCATGCTAAGAATCTTGAGGAGAGACAAGAAGTTGAGAGTTTGTTTCAAGTTAAAGTGCTACATCCACCAAAGAAAACGATCAAAATTGTGAAATTGAAACCTCCGAATCCAGGGAAGTATGTTTTGAGTACGGATGGATCAGCATTGGGGCAATCGGGTGATGCTGGTTGGGGATACATCTTGAGAGGCCAAAAAAGAGTTTTCATTTGTGCAGAGAGTAAATATATAGGAAGTGCAATGAGCTTGGAAGCTGAATTACTTGGAATTTATTATAGTTTAAGGGCTTGCATTAGGAAGGGTGTGCGCTTTATTGAGGTTCAAACAGATAACCAGGTCATCACAATATGCTTAGAAAAGGGCCATAGTTATCCATGGAAGCTTTATCGTCATTTTCGCGGAATCCAGAGCATGTTACAACAATCGCAATCAAAAGTTGTGCACGTATAACGAGAGGTAAATAGCGTGGCTGATGATCTTGCGAAACAAGTTTCGGCTAGGGTTTCATGTCATTATAATAACTTTGGTGAACTTCCGGCATCAATCTGTGGAAAAGTTCACCTTGATCAATCTTCATTCCCTTATATTAGGATTAAATAGTCTCTAAATCTTCAGAAAATCTAGATGGAGTTGCTAGGGGATTTATGTTTCTAATCTTTGTAAGGCAAGCTCCTAGGTACCTAGATAGGAAAAATGAACTGTCAGGGGACTATAGTTTTATCTTTGTAAGACAGTTCCTAGTGTAATTGCATAAAAATCGTCAGGGGTTTTACTAGAAAACTTTGTAAGACGGTTCTTTTTCGTTTGGGTAAGTTTTAAGCGCTGCCTTATGTAACTTTATCTTTTAATTAATAAAATCGGGGTCCTCCCGCCAGGTACCGCCCCGGATTCTCCTAAAAAAAAAGACTTGTATTAAAAGAAAAGAGAATAAGACAAATTTTGTAAAAATAATTGCTTTCTTTTTTGTGTGTGAATGTGGTCATGTTAATTATTTTACGTATCGATTTATTCAATAAATTTGGATGAGTTTGGAACTTTGAAATAGCAGCTTTTATAGTTAATATGTATAGGAATATAGTCAATGAGTAGCTAAAGGGTTTTTAGGCGAGTAAATGTTTTATTATTATTATTATTATTATTATTATTATTATTATTATTATTATAATTATTATTATTATTATTTGGATTTGGTCAAGTTAATAATTTTACAGGTCAAATGGCATTTACTTAAGGGGTGGGAGGAATGGATGGGTTGGGTAGGGGATTAAGATGGACAAATTATTAGGGGCCGAGAGTTCGATTCCCGCTAGGACCATTTAATTATATATTTTTTTGTTTTTTAAGCATATTTTTCTTAAATTTCTACATGTAAGAGAGTTTAGTTTATATTTGTTTTCCATTTCTTTTTATAAAAAAATGTTTTTATAATATCGTAATTTTAAAACAATAAATATCACATTTCTTTTATTTCTAACTATTTAAACCATTCAAATTTAAATTTATAATTCTAATTTTTATGATATCAAATTTTAAATATTAATCATTTCGTTTTTATTTATCAAATTTAAAATTTAAAATTTTCATTTAGATAAATTGATGAAATCATTAATATATTTACGGGCAATTTTTTCTCTCTCTAAAAATTTTTATTCCCGCTTCTCTCTAACATTTTTTGTCCAAAAACCCTAATCACTTATGGCGGCCAGTAGGCTACCGGAGAGTCCGTATTCAGTGCACCCGGGTGTACCGTATACCCCCCACCAAACATACGCACTACACGCGCTCAACTGTTTTCACCTTTACATTAAATGCACAAACAAAACTATTTTCATCTATTTTACTGTTTTCATCCCACGCACAAACACACACAAACACACAGTCGATAGAAACTCTCTATTTTATGTTTATCCATTAGATCTGAACTTGTTATCCATGCCTTGTTGCGTTTGATATGTGGTTGCGTTCACATATGGTTTTTTATTCATGCTTTATTGATTATCCATAATTTTGTTACTGATTATCCACTAGATGTGAACTGGTTATCCATGTTTTCCTGCGTGTGTTATGTGAAGGTTTTCCATGCCATAATTGCTGCTTATCCACTCATTTCATACTGGTTATCCACAAGTTGTAAACTGATTATTCAGAAGGTGTAAACTGGTTATCCAGAAAGTGTAAACTGGTTATCCACAAGTTGTAAATTGGTTATCCATACTTTTTTTTTTACATTTGATTATTGTGTAAATTGGTTATCCACAAATTGTAAATGGACAGTTTCGCAACCCCCCGCCAATTATCACCGCCAGCAGGAGAGTCTGTTAATTAAAGAAGCAAATGGCATATTAATTAGGGGGATTGATAGGTCTTGAAGTTTCATGTTATTTATGGGTATTTGTATAGCATTTTGGATTAGATTGTGCACTTATGTTGTGTATTTTGATGTTTTTGGTTCTTAGGAGTGATTGGAGCTGAGATTGAGAAAAATGTTTCATAAACACACATTTTTGGAGTATTTTGACAAGGAAGCACAAAAAGAGAGCAATGACATCACATTCTCGTGTGGGCACATGAATCTCAGTCCAAAATTGAGCTTTAGGGAAGAAATTCCAGCATTGATGCTGCATTCCCGTTTGACCAAACTGAAGCAGGGACTAAAATGAAAAATTAAAAAAGTTTTGAGGTCAAAATATAATTTTACCAAACTTGAGGGACCAATTTGCAAATCTTTCCTGCTGCGGCTGACCTACTTGTTCCCCATATAAATTGATTTTATTCTTTCTTTTGGGGAGGGGCTGAACGTGAGAAGAAGAAGAGGAGGCTGGAGTGGTCCTAAGCCGTCTATCTAGCCCTTTTGGGCGTTATTCTTCCCCATTCTCCATAGTTTTGTTTCAGTAAGGCTTTATTATGTGTAATTAAATTATTTTTCTAGTTGAAAGATATTGAAGCCTTGGTTTGAATAGTTGTGAGATCTAAATGTTGTTTCTCTCTCAATTTCTTGTGAGGATTTGCTTGTTCTATTGCACGATTGATATGATTATTGTGGATTCATAAATAGCTGGTAGCATTCATTATTTCATGTTAGTTAACAACCAATAAGGCAGCAAGGTTTGTTGTTTTAAAAGGGACTGATATAATTAAATTACTTGGTAAGTGATTTTGTTATGTTATAAGAACAAGTAATCTGGTTTTTTATTAAACAAGGTTTGTTTCATAGGGACCAGAATTGGGTCTTTATACTTAATGCAGTCGTTTTCTTAATCTTAGGAGGTTCCAGGATTGAATTTCGACTAGTGTGTTTAATGAAGGTTTTCTTAATCACTAAGCTTAGTTCAAGATTGAATTGTTCGGAGGTTCCAACAACGAAAACTAATTTGCCTATAAGTGATTGAGCATCATTGCATCTATGATCAATTGTCTAGACCAAGGTGGATATAAAATCTTTTGACTAGAAACTTTCTCATAATTTGCTTTCATTTTTTTTAACTATCATTTGAATTTTATTTTAACTACATTTTAGTTTTAAAAACTCAAAACCCCCTTTTCGGTTACTTATTTGAAAGAAACAAATCCACCATTCCCTGAGGAGACGACCTTGTTTTCCTATGCTACTAGTTTGAAAGTAGGTTAAATTGTTTGTTGGCTTGACACCCATCAGGGATGATAAACTAAACGACTCCCGCGTCTACAGGAATCGCAGGTCACCAACCTGCCCCGGCTGTGCCGCCCCGCCGTACATGCCAATGTAGCTAAGGTAATCCTTTTTTCGTGTGTGTGTAAGGAGAGTGTGTTATTGCGTTAAGAGGGGACACAAACCGATTGACAACCTGCCCCGGAGCCTTTCCTCGATCGCTGAATGTTGTCGCCGTCTCAACGACTCGATTGCCGCCGGCTGTGTCCACTTCAACGCCTCGATCGCCGACTCCCATTGCCGCCTCAACGCCTCGATCGCCGCCGGCCGTCGCCCAATAATAATACTCCATCACAAAGTTTTCAAAATTTGAATGAATTCGGTAATTTATATATGCCGCGTTTAAAAAAAAAAAGAAAAAGAAAGTTGAATTATCTAGCGGACTCACGCTATTATAAGAGAGTAAAGTACAAACGCAGGGAGGTACATGGTGCCCCCGGGTGTACCAGATAATTTGCCCCGGCGGATGATTCCCAAGCAAAAAATTTAACGTTTGCACAAATCTTAAATGGTGCAAAACCGAATCCGAGGAAGCTTCAACAAGGGATTGGTAGGCCGATCATTGAAGATGAATTCATTCATTCCAACCCAACAGTATAAAAAGGAGAGCCTTTGTTTTTGTTGATGAAAGAAGAAGACATAAGCTTGCGGAGCCTTTCAAACTAGCGTTCATCGGAAAATTCTCAAACGGAAGGCCGATGATGGAGTATTTGTGGAATCAATTCCAAAAGATTGACTTTAAGGGTGAGTTCTCGCTAGGAATGATAGATCATCGGCATATATTAATTTATTTTGGTCAGGAGGATGATTTTCAGAGATGTTAGATTAAAGGCTTATGATCTTTTGATCACCATGTTATGAGGGTTCTTAAATGGACGCCGGAATTCAATCCGGAACATGAATCGTCCATAGCTCCAGTCTGGGTAGCTTTCGAGGGCTTGTCAATTCATAAATTCAACGAGCAATATTTGAGGAAACTGGCTGGAGTTATTGGCACACCCTTGAAGATCGACATACCGACGCTTAACATGTCTAGACCTTCAATTGCGAGAGTATGCGTAGAAGTTAATTTGCTACATGATCTCCCACAGCGAATAAGGCTTGGAACTGAAGAGCATTCCTATTTTCAGCCTATCACTTACGAAAATCTGCCGGATTATTGTTTGGAGTGCCGTAAAATAGGTCATTCAGAGGTGGACTGCCGACATGTTAAAGGGAAAAAGTCAGAACCAGAGCTAAGAGGAAAATAAGGAGGATAATTCTTCACAAATGGCGAAGACTACTAATGTTGCAAAAAGCTAGGGCGCAGAATGTTAAGAATGTATGGAAACAAAAAGAAGTGAAACATGTGCGACCTGTTATGTCGGAGAAAGGTAAGGAAGCCTCCACTTCAGGACTGACAGTTAGCGAAAAAGCTACGATTCCGACGGACGTAGAACCCTCAAGCCCTCAGCCCCGACAAACCTCTTCAGCAAAGCGACTTTTTTCAAAGGATCAACTGATTTCAGAAAACCAGAATAATCGGAAACAAGAGATTTCATTGGATCCAAAAGAAGATGAGGAAAGAGACAGAAATCAATCACATGGGAATAATGAACGACAGTTGGTTCTCTATCAAGAACAATTCGTGATGCCTGCTCAGTTTGCTTCAAGCTCGCGCTTCCAGGTTCTATCGGACTTACAAATGGAAGAGGATGAAATGGAAGATCATACAGCTGTGCAGCAATTATGGAACTTAGTGCTGGAGACGGAACTAGAGTCGGACTCTGATGCTGAAGTTATTTTCTCTGAGGAAAATCCAGTGGAAAGGAAAAATGATGGCGAAAGACGTGTTGATGAAGCGAGCATAATATAGAGAGTGAGCAAAGGAATCTGTACACTGCTAAAGATGATAGCTTCCTGGATGGAGGAACAGACATGGATGCTCCAATAGACGCAAGATCAACAGCCTCAGATGGAGAGACGGAAAAAGAAACCGGGACGACCAAAAGGCCCAAGAAAAGTGACAAACCAACTTAAAGATCAAGAACCTCGTCGATCCACGAGGATACAAGGTGCTCTTCCTTTTCAAAGTTAAAAATGATAAGACAGATCGTATGGAATATCAGGGGAATTGGGAATAAAGAATCAAGGTGTAGAATTAAACATTTGATTTCTAGGCATTTGGTGTCCTTTGTGATCATTTTGGAGCCTATGCTTCAATCTGAAAAGCTGGAAGATTCGAAAAGTTTTTTGAAAATGGATTCTGCGATATCTTCATCTTTTGGAAAAATTTGGGTGTTGAGCACGAAGGAATTTGAAATTGAAATTATATAAGATTTGGAGCAAGTGCTTCATATGGAGGTTGGCCATCTGGTCTCTTCAAAGAAATTTATCGTTTCACCTGTGTACGCAAAATCTACAAGAAGGGAAAGGAAAGATTTATGGGAAGATTTAACCAGGTTTTATGATCAAAATGCTGGGCAACCTTGGATGGTCGGGGGAGATCATAATGTCATCAGGAATCTAGAGGAATACTCGGGGTCTTCTCAGTCGGATCAAGCAGCTATATCGGATTTTAATGAATGGATGAAGATTTTGTAATACAGATCGAATGAACAGAACAGAAGACAGTAAAATAAGTTGAGAAATAAAGGAACCAAGAACAGAAAGCTTCAATTTTTTTTCATCGTTCATCAGAAACTTGTAATAAGGTTATATATATATATACATCAGTTGCTTCCTGAAAAGAAACTTCCTAATTACACATTAAGGACTTGTTAGGAATCTTCCAGGAAATAGCCCAAGATTAGATAAGATTAAAGCTGGTTTTGTTTTCTATATAAGCCATGATCAGCTATAAAATACAGTCGGCTTACTACAGTACTCCACAGAGAGGTGCTGGCATGAAACCTTGGGAGTGCAGTTTGAGTAGAATTTCAAATATAATTCTTAACCCCTCCTCAAGATGAGCCTTTCCATAAGCTCATCTTGGACATCAGAAAGGAGAAAGTTGCAGCTGAAAGAGGTTTCGTGTAAAAATTTACCAATTGTCAATATGCAAAGGAAGCAGCAAACCGGATTTGTGTTGATCTCGAACGACATGGCAGTCGATTTCAATATGCTTGGTTCTTTCATGGAATACAAGATTTGCAGTTATATCCATAGCTGCTTGATTATCACAGTAGAGAGAAATTAGTAGAAGAGGCAGGATAGAAAAGTCTCTGAGCATGTAAACAATCCATTGAAGCTCTCTAGTAGCTGCTGCCATTGCTCTATACTCAACTTCTGCTTAGGAGCAAGATATTGCACTTTATTTTTTTGTTTTCCAGCTAATCAAACTTTCACCAAGAAATGCACAATATCCAGTTATGGAATGCCTTGATGTTCGACATGATCCCCAATCTGAATCTTTATAAACTCTAACACCAAGAAAAGACTTTGAAGGATAGAAAAGGCATTGATCAATGCTGCCACACAGATATCTAAGCACATGATGTGCAGTGTTCCAGTGAGACAAATGTGGTTTTTGCACATGTTGACTTAGCTGTTGCACTGCATAAGTGACATCATGTCTTGTATAATTTAAGTATAAGAGACGTCCCACTAACCTTCTGTACTGCATAGGATCAGAATAAAGTGGGAGTATCATCTTGGTCTTCTGAAACAAAATGCAATCCTGGAGGAAAAGGTGTGGAGGTTAGTTACTGTCAAGAACTCCAGTTGATGCAAGAAGATCTTTTATATATTTGCATTGATGAATGTAAATACCATCAGAAGATCATGCAATTTCCATCCCAAGGAAATACTTAGCATGGCCTAAGTCCTTTATAGTAAACAGATCATTCAAGTAGCACTTCACTTTGGTAATCTCTGTGGCATCAGGTCCAGCAATGAGAACATCATCTACATAAATGATATGCTTATATTTTATCTAGTTATTATATCCCTAATTTGTGATTTTTACAATATATTTTGAGTACAAATATGCTATTTATGTGATTTTATCTTTAATTGTAGGAATTGTACTCAAATGGAAGAATTGTTGAGGTTTTGGACTAAATTGAAAAGAAAAAGCAACTCAAAGGGAGAATTGAAGATTTGATAAATTGACAAGGAAGAATTGAACCACTTGAAGAGTTGAAGGAGTTTTAATTTAAATTGACTTGAAAAAAAATAACTTTCTTATTCCTGAAGAAATAGGGTTTGAGGAAAGCCAATAAAAAGAGGATTATGATTTTATTTTTTGGGGAGAGATTTAACCACAAAACTACTTCTCTATCACCTCAGCCCCCCACCTCTGCGACCATCACCTTAATCATCATCCACCACACCTCCACGCACCAAACCCTTTCTCCACCTACCAACTTCGTCGAAATCCATCATCATCAACTTCAGCCCCATCGCCACGCACCATCACCATCAAATCCCATCACCACACCAAATCAGCCCCAAAATTCCATGCCTCCATCTCACCCCATCAACACCAACTTCACGCCACACCATCATCATCTTCACGCATCATCAGAGGAAGCAAGCAGCAATGCATCAACCTCAGACTCAACTTTCGGCTGACTTTCTCTCGAGTTTCACTGTTTTATTTATTTTTTAGATGATGTGTAGTTAAATTATTTAAGCTAGGGTTTTGGATGTAGTCGCCGTACTATTTAATTTAGTTTAAGTTATGATTGTGATTTTTCATTAATTAATATTTATTATTCTTGTTTTTCATTCATGTGAGTACCTGATCAATATTTGCATGCTTTAAGGTGCTAGCTGAAGTAGCGAGAGTGGAAGGCTAGTATTAGTTTGTAGGAATAATAAACTTAGGTAGTGAGCCACGAGAGTAGGAACACCGCCTTTGCGACTAGTAATTCTAAAGTTCTTAATGTACTTTTATTAATCCCTATAGTCACGAGAGTAGTCATAGGGTTAATCTAAGTAAGAGGATTATGACACGAGAGTGTATAATTCTTAAATTGGTGAATTGTCATGAGATTAATGGGAGTCGAAAGTCACATATCTATAGATTAAATTAAACTGAATAGTCGGTTGGTGAACCCTTTGCCCTAGTCTTTTACTTATTTATATCTTTAAATAATTGCAATTGTTAGTTTTACGTTTAAAGTAATTTAAAATTGATAAATTGTTAATCTAAATAATAATAAGAAATAGTTTTAACCGGTAATTAGTAACCTTCTCTGTGGGATCGACCTTGCTTGCTACTTTACTACTAGTAATTGTATTAAGTAGGTAATTAATATTTGACTAGTGTGATGACGACTTGTCAATAAACCAAAATATAGAGCTGACACTGTATATTAACATAACTGAATAGACAAGGATCATGATATGACTGTTTGAATCCATAAGAAATTAGTTTGGTAGAGAACTCTTGATTCCATTGCCTTGAAGCTTGTTTTAATCCATATATTGACTGCTTGAGCTTACAAAACTGTCCAGGTTGCACCTTATCATACACCAATGGTGGCAGCATATATACATCTTCTTCTAGATTACCATGTAGAAATGCATTATTAACATCTAGTTGATGAACAAACCACCCTTTGGAAGAACAAACAGCAAAAAGCATACATACTGTGACTATCTTCGCAACAGGTGAAAAAACTTCACAAAAATCCTCCCCTTCAATTTGACTATATCCTTTGGCAACAAGGAAGTTAACTCCCACGTGTCATTTGTTTCTAGAGCTGCAAGTTCATTTTTCATAGATTCTACCCATCTTAGATTAACTCTTGCCTGATTGTAAGTACTAGGCTCTGATGAATCAGACACATTTGCAACAAATTAACTATATGAAAGGGTAGAAACACAAGATGACTTAGAGGATGAACTAATGCAGATAAAAGATGTGTCATAATCAGCCATCCAGATAGGTGGTCTTCTATCTCTTGTATTGACTCTAAGAATAGGCTGAACTAGTGTACTATTGGTGGAAACAGGTGAGGAAGATGATAACTCAGATATGGATGGTGAAGAAGATTAGGGAGATTCTTCTGATAAATGAAAGTCATCAGTTGAATTGGTATGTCTAGATGAGATTTCATGACTGTCTTGCTGTTGATCAAAAGGATTAGTGTGAGTAAAAATCTGATCACAGTCATCCTGAACATATTGATAAAAATAGGTGCTAGCAGATTGATTTTGAGAAGTAGAAGGATAGATATTTTCATGAAACAAAACATCTCTTGAAATGATAGTTTTGTGTAATGAAGGAACATATATCTTGTAACCTTTTTGACAGTGTGGATATCCTATAAAAATTCCTTCAAATGATCTTGGAAAGCTTATCTCTATTTGGTCCATTATTTACAGCATAAACTTTGCACCCAAAGTTTCTCAAAACAGACAGATCAGGCTTATATCTAGTTAGGATTTCATATGGTGATTTCCAACTAAGAGTGGCTGAAGGAAGTTGGTTTATTAGGTATGTGGCAGTAAGTAAAGCATCTCCCAAGAACGATTTTGGCAAGTTTGATTGCAAGAGAAGAGACCTTGCAACCTGAAGTAAATGTCTATACTTGCGTTCTACAACACCATTTTGCTGTGGTGTGTTGACGCATGATTTTTGGTGTACAATACCATGATCAATGAAAAGTTGAACACAGTTTTGGTTGAGAAATTCTGTCCCATAATCAGTTCGAACCTTCTTAACTTTGGCTTCAAACTGAGTAGCAATCATTTTCAAAAATTGAGAAATTGGTGTGGCTTGACTTTTATGTTGGAATAGAATAGTCCATGTACAACGACTGAAGTCGTCTACTATGGTCAAGAAATATTGGCAGTTTGTAAGAGATTTAATTCTGTATGGTCCCCAAACATCAAGATGTAATAACTCAAAACATTGTTTAGATTGAATAGATCCAGTAGGAAAAGGTAATCTACTTTGTTTAGACAATGGACAGATACTACATTGTTCTAAACTGGCTTTACTAGAAGATAAAGGA